GGGCATCTCTTGCCAATGTTGAAGAGCAGTCTGACGCTCCATGCAACGTTGTTCACTGCACTAAACTTGACAACCAAGCACTATGAGAGTTTGCATGCCATTGCTTCAGGGATGTGCAATGTACAATGTACAAGTTTCAGATTCTCTGAAAACCAGGCCTGTCGATAAAAGGCTTATGCTATTGGATTTGTTGGAGCCTTTTTCCTTTGGAGCCAGAATGTTTGCAAGTTGGAACCTTTTTTTTTGTGGTCGGAATGCATTTGCTGCTTGATCGTTGACTTGCTACTGCCATGCTTCCAGAACCACGAGCCCATTTATGACCAAATTCAGAAGGGTGTCGCTTGCCAATGTTGAAGAGCAATCTGACGATGGAAAGCCAAAGATTCTCTGAAGACTCTTGAAACTAAAACAAAAATCCACCAAACGGTGAGACGATTCCTTTTCAGATTTTGACTGACTTCGTTGAAGGCTTGATTGCCGATGATCTGGTTCGACAAATCTCAGAGATGAAAGGGATGTACTTTCCTGTGCTACAAACGTGCTACAGGTTGCATGCTACAAACGTACTTTGCGCATGTGCTTAACTACATTACATGTTCACTGCAGTTGGCATGCACTTCCCAATGTATGTTTCATATCTTGGTGGTTCTCTGGCACTACCAGGGAATTCTCTCAAACGGCTAAATGTCTTTCTCAATGTCTTTCACTTTCCCTAAAAGAACCGTTGTTTCAACCATACCTACACCCTCCCGAGGCAATTATTATTGCCGTAACGAAGTTGCAGGTATACTGTAGCTCAGCCGGCTCGCGCTGTTTCAAAGGTATGAAGAATATGGCACGGTGGTGCCCTTCGTCCTGTTGGCCCCGGCGTACTTTTCGGGCGCCTTAGACCTGGGAAAGCTCATGCAGTGCCGTGGCAGACTGAGACAGAGTGAGACGGGGTGAAGTGTTTGATATAGAAGCTATGTGGTTTGGTCTTGTTGATGCCCCCAAAAAACTCTACAATCATTTACAATAATCATGTACAAAGATTGTGATTTATGCTGATTCTACCTTCGATGGGTTTAACACCAATATATATATTGCACACCTTCGATGTGTCTTTTCTCCGATCCAAGATCTCTCCGGGACGGGCGGGACCCGGTGGACCGCATGGAGTCTGGACTCGGGGTCCACCCCGCGGCGTGCGCGGACGGCTGGGCCATGCTGGGCCCCGTGGACCGCTGAGGCTCCGCATGATCGTGGAGCGTGTGTCCCAGAGTTTGACCTTTCCAGTGGCAGCTTATGAGCAGGAGAGAGGGAGGTGAATTCGGGGGGAAAGAGCATGAATGAATGCCATGAATTCGTGTGGACATTTTGTTACATCATGTTACATCAACTAAAATCCAAGTTGAATCTTTGATCAATGATGGCCTATGATGGGCTATATAGCTATTTTCTTCCCCTGCCACTCGTGTTTCGTTTCGGTTTCTTCCCGCCAGGCTGTCGGTTGGCGCGTGGCGGCCAACCGCTTGGCCGCCTTGGCAGCCGCCACGTCCGCGGTGGCGCCGCCTTCTTCGGATTCCCCGTCCGCGCCGGGGCTGGGGAGTCCGTCGGTCCTGCGTGTGGAGGGTGTCGACTTGAAGACGCCCCAGGGGAGGCGCAGGGGGGTGCAGCGGGGGCCCGCGGCGCTTCAAGAGAGAGGGCCGCCGAGGCCTGGTTGATTGGTGTTGTGTGTTTGGATTTGGAAGGGGGGGGGTTCGATGGTTGAATAGGACGTTTTGGTGCTGATTTGGTGGAGAAAGCCGTACAAGTGGGCTGGAAGTGCAGTCGGACTCAGAGACCCCCCACTGGAGTCACTGGCAGAGATTCTGACAGCTCTGCCAGATAGTGCAGCAACATGAGTATGAGTAATGTGACGAGCTTACACCATTTAAAGGAGGCCAATAGGATGCCTCCACATCGTCACTCATGGACTAAAAACGGCTTAAAATGAACATACTAAAGTGACTCAACTGGAACCACAGTCAACATCAATCCTCGACTCAACTGTATAAGCAAACCTGTGGAACAACACAGTTGGAGTCAAGATCAGCTTCCCAGCAATTCTGGGACATTCCTCCAGAGAGGCTCCTTCTGGAGAATGTGAATCTCGAAGTATCTCCTGGAGAGCGGCTGCTGCTGGTGCTTCCAGCCTCTGGCGGGAAGTCCTTGCCATTTGGCCCAGAGTCGGCCATGAGGCAAGAGAACGGAGGTGAGGCGCCGTCCCGAAGAAAAGGAAGAGGAACATCACCCATCGTTCCTCACAGAAAGGTTCAATATCAGGTATTATTTCTAAAATCAGCCTCTTTATGTGTGTGGTGTATGGACTATAGCCACACCATGCTAGGCCTATGTTGGAGTCTATGTTGGAACCCATGTTGGAACCCTTGGCCTTGATATAAAAAATGCTGGGCCTATGTTGGAGTCTATGTTGGAACCCATGTTGGAACCCTTGGCCTTGATATAGAAAATGCTAGCTAGGCCTATGTTGGAACCCTTGGCCTTGATATAGAAAAGGTCACATTGCATTCACACTATTCACAAGGTTATCTATTTTATCTCAGACCTGCGACGTGGACACTCTCACACACAATCAACCACCCTTTTCACTCAAGCCACGCCCGGCATGCACTCCATATATGAGTTCAAGTTTAACCCTGCTATCTAGCCGGCCATGATTCATTTACCGGCTAAACAGCAAAAACTGCATGGGTGCTTTCTGGACACATTACCTCGATTTGTTCGGCTTTGGGCACAAGCATTGCTCAAATGCCAAACCGTTCCACTTGGAGTGACATACACTGTTTTGTTTGAAAATGGAACAGGGTCTTCCTGCCAAGAGCTGCTCTGCTGATCCGCACGTTCCTTCTGGGAAATCACTCTGACATCCTCGTAGTCACGCTGCAAGTCCTTCAAGGCCTTCTCTAATTGGTGTTTTTCTCGCTCAATCTCTTGGCACCGCTTGCAGTCAAAATTACCTGTAGAAAAGGGAGTGTCACAGGTGTCAATCTTGTCAGATCGTGATGGTTGGCTGCTCCCAACCAAGCTCCCAAACTGTGAATTGGAACATTTCGATACCAGCATTCCAACAAGGACTCCCAAAACCAATGTCACCACAATATTGGCAATGTAAGGCGGCAACAAAAAGAAGATGGTCATTGCACCTCCCCCCTCCACTCCCGCCATCGCTACCAAGTTTGGAAAGAGGATGATGGTGGGAACTGAACTGTTGAGCCTCGCCAGAAGCTGCATCAACAATCACAACATTCAACAGACGTGACATGTCGTTGGTTTTTTTCCAAGACTCATGATCCAACCCTCACCTGCCATGCAAAACAAAAACATGTTCTGATTATTAGCATCGACAACAAACTGTGGCCAAACCCAACACCACAACCACTGGACCGTGGTTGTTCTTGGGTTGATAGCTGTGTGTTTTTTTCAGACGCCAATTTTCAACACAAACACGTCACAGTCACCTTCCTGGACACTAAAAAGTATCCTCTTGAAGGAAAAAGATCCGTCTCAGACTGCAGCAGTGTGCAGAGTGCAGTCTATTTGCAAGCAAGATGGGGTCGCGGTTGGCTGTCTCAGCACAAAATTCGAAACAAGTGTGAATTGATATCGAAAAGAACACTGGCACTGGAGAACTCACAAACACCTCAACAGCCACAAAAACAATACAGTTCAGTTCAGTCACAGTCACTGTCCCCTGAGTAGTTGCACCGGAACACATCCAACCAACCCATCACGGACATGTGACATATTAACTCATGCAATATCCTCATCCTCGCTACTTGCAATAAGACGAGCTCTTTTTTGGGGTTTGCCCCTCACCAAAAACAAAGTTTCCGAGCCACTGCTTTCAGAAAAGGGGGGTTCCGATCCGAGGTCCGATCCCTCATCAGAATCAGAGGCGGCAGCCACGCTGGGCTCAGGTGATTCAGGCTTCACCATGCTCCAAACTGTCCTCGAATCATCAGTACAGAACCTGACCCGGACCTGGACCCCTCATTCTTTGTACTGTATAGATAGATAATGTGAGATATTTATCCGTATCTAGTTCAATCCAACGTGCACGTGACTTGTGGGGCAAGTGGACTGGCGACTCAATCTGCCAAGCCGAGCTGCCCTCCATCGCGTCCCAGAGGGAGTACATAGATCAAGAGCGCCAATATACAAGCGCCACATACGGACGCTGTCATAGAGTTTCCTTCATGGAGGGCGCAATTCTGTCGGTAGTTGTACTCAGGAAAATGCACAGGCTCAGTCAGTCAGTCTGCTCAATTGTCAGCATCCACAGTGGCAGTATCATACAAAAGTCTGCAACATGTGTGTTTTCAATGGAGACTGCACTGCGAATCATTAGTTAGTTGTTTGTTGCTTGCCTGCCAACCGAGTCAACCCAGCATACTGCATAGTTTCTGGCCACTCAAATTGAGCTGGGTCAAAGCCTTGACCGACCAACAGCGCCTCGAAGAGCAATACAATACAATCGTATAAGTTGCAAGTTGCAAATCAAATTGTAGATGTAGATGAGTAGACAGTAGACTGTCGACTAGTAGATTAGGTGATGATTACAATACTTTAGAGCTGATGGTTTGCAACTACTCAAACTCAAATTCCCAAAATGAGAATTGAACAGCATCCTGCATCCTTTTTGAATCGCATTGTCGCATCAAGCTCATCAAACCGCAAGAAGAGTCAAAATCATCCCCAATGAAGCTATGATTTGGTGGCAGTTGGGCAGTCCATTGGACTCAGGAACCTGCACAGCTTCAAACCCCTGTGCCATGGGTCATGGCGTGAAAGTTGGCAAAGCGGCCAGTGGCCAGCACCTACTTGGACTTTTTTACCTTCTTGGACCGGGCTTCATCACCATGAGAAGACCTGGTGTGGCCCTTGTTTTTGTCCTTCTCCTTGTCCTTTTTGCTCCGTTTCTTCTCACTCTCTTCTTTCACACTGGCCGCATTGGAATTTCTCTTTTTCTGGTGTTCCTTCTTGCTTTCAATGTCGGTCAGGTGTGACTTCACTGCCGCTGGAAGGTCAGCTCTTCCCAATCCGAAATGCTTTTGGGTGTACCTTTCGTTGGATTGGAGCATTGCTGAATCACACCCTTGCAATGTGGCTGCGTCACACCAAATCAACAGGTTTGCCAGCTGGGATCCTTCGCTGGCACACTTTTGGACACTCACCTTCTTTGATGAAGCTGCTTGAAAGACACCCTTCAGTGCGTCAGACGCTGTGACATGCTGCACTAAACGTGAAAGCAAGTCATCAAAGATCAATCCATCCTTCCGGGCAGCCTTCAGGATCTCGATGTGCTTCTTGATGTCTTCTTCGGAGCCCTTGTCAAACATCCACCCAACGCTCTCCAAGCTCCCGGACTCAGCTGCTGGAGTCAGATCCTTGAACTCATTGTTGAACTTCTCGAAGGGTTCCTGGACAAGCCCAGCCTCCTGGTTGAAGGCATTCTGGAGGGCCACGACGAAAGAGTCACAATAAGTCTTGCAACTCTCAAGGGCCTTTGAAAGAGCTTCCTCCTCTTGGAGGGTCCTGGACTGCATCCCAGAATACGCGGACTCAAAGGTCTGGAGCTTGAACATCAAGTCAGCAACCTTCTTGTTCTGCAGAAAATCCAATTCCACCTTCCAATCACGTTGAAGTGCATGCAGAATTGATTGCATCTCCCTGGAAAGGCACGTCAGGAGACCATCTTTGGGCATTTGATTGCCATCGTTCACAACTCCAAGCACCACTTTCGCAGCACAAGACGCTTGCAGCCTTTGAAGCATTTTCTTCACAGCAATTGCAGCTTTCATGGCCGCTTGAGCAAGTTCCGAAGAGGAGCCGTTTGTCAATGCAACGCATGTTGGGAAGGCATTGCAAGCATTGAGGCATGATTTTGAGAACTCGGCGAGCTTCAACAAATGGTCGCCCTCCCCCGCCTGAAGTTCTTTCTGCAGAACAACTACCCTGTTCATCCATTCTGCCAAGACCCCACAGCTTGCAGGCAAGGGCAAATCCACTGTCTCCTGCTTGGAATGGAAAAAGCCTCAGGTGGCTCAGACAAAAGAGCGGCGGCAGGACGATCTTGAACATCTGAGCCGAAGCCCTAGGCCCTAGGTATGACATTCATAGGGAAATGCATCAACAATCATAATTGGAGCCATCAGCTATCAAAGAACTGAAGACTGGAGTGCTGAATTGAATGAATGACTCAGTGACTCAGACTAAGTTCTAGTTCTATATAATTGAACGAGTCTCAGTCTCAGTCTCAATTCTCTTCTGTCACGTTAAATCACCGCCAAGTGACAGCGAAGAAGGAACTGTTGGTCAACTGCCGATGGCACTGTAGGCCCATTCCCAGTGTACATCTCGGCCGCAGCTTGCAAGCCCGCATTCTTGGCTTTGAACTCTTCGCTCACGTGCTCTTCAATCGCCCGAATGGTCTCTTCAAACTTTGTGTGAAGTGTCTTAGCCACCCATGCGCATAACTTGTCTTGCGCAGTCTGCAAGCTTGTCAAGGCTTGAGAGGCGTCATCAGAGTCAGACAAATCCTGCCCACCTGTGGCTGCATTGAGCTGCCTGAGAACACTTGGGATTGCTTCGAAGGACTGGGCAACTTTTTCCTTGATTTCATCCAGTGTTCCAGGTAGCTCTCCGCTTTCTGTAAGCTGCATCATCAAGATGTTGTCTGCAGCATCCACCAACTCGCGGGCTTGCTTCACAAGCTGCAACACCACAGTCTGGTCCTTGCCGAAGGTCAGCAATTTCTGCCAAAGTCGCCTGAAGCATCATACAAAAGCTGACTGACAATCTTTGTCCTTGACATTCTATAGGGATGGCCAATGGCACAGTGCATGGAGCATGTTATGTATTGGTTATTGGACAGTGTTCAAAACAGCAAGAATCAGTCGTCAGATTGCACAGCTGGACTCCGGACTCCCATTTTGAAGTTCGATTCAAGCTGACTTAACTGGTACAACACACACAACTTTAACATCAGTTCACAATTTTAGGGTGTCCCCCGTCCCATGAGCCTCCATTCGCTTTGAGCATTCATTGGTGTAACCACTGGTGTTGAGAATGATGAATGAGCAGCTGCAACGGCACACAAGTACCCGGAGTTGAGCGATGGCTCCACCGGCTTGCTCTCAGATCGCTTCAT